AGAAATTCACACCATAAAACCGATCGGCGGCTATAGAGCCGCTGATCAGTTGTATGTGAAACAACCGTTAACGGCTGTAGTAACTAGCGGGTCTTTCCTGCCCGCGCGTGAGAGCAGGAAAAAAATGCCATCTGGAGACGGCAACCCACTGATGCGAGTCTGCTGTCCGTCCGTTTTTTCATAACAGGCGGACGGCAGGAGGTCAATAAACCCAATTTTTCAGTGAAAAATGCATTTAAATTCACTTAGTGCACACAGGCACAATATACTATCCAATTTAGTGGTAATATATAAACAATAGGGTTGTGTTGAGATACCAAACATGTCAAGCCTGAAAGTTGTGTGCGCCCATGGCATAGAGAACATTTTGTATACCCAAAATTGTCCAGAGGTGACACTTTATAAGCCTTTACAGGTTATTAATTTAGAGTTAAATGTGAATATTGTCCCTAATGCCTAACATGTGTGGCACAGTTGCTGTTTTTATAAATAGATGTGCCAAACACATGTGTTTTTGCTCATATGTGTGTGTTCATGGGAGCAGGAGAATTTTTTTTTAAATTAATTTAATGTATTTTTTTACTTATTTGTATTGCTGTGAGCCTCTTTGATACCATATTGCTGGTGACATGTCCTGCTGATGGTCTATTAGACTCCCAATGTCACCTATGGACTCCAATGAAGTTGATAAACCGCAGACTGTGCTTGATCAGCTTAGAAACCAGAAGTGATTAAATCCTTGTCGCGATCATTTACTGGAGAGGAGACCAACAAATGGTTGTTCACTTTTACATTGTAGATTGTAAGCCCTCAGGGGCAGGGCCAATTCTAAAACATTTATTACCCAATTTTTTGGTAAAATATAAAAGACAGGGTCACGTCGGGTAACAAGACACCAAACATGTCAAGCCTTAAAATTGCTCTCACTCTGACGTTCGCGGCGATATGTAACATGTGTAGCTCAATTGTAATTTTCACGCGCTGACGCATCTGACGCATATTTACGTTTATATGTGCGTAAAAGAAGTGGGGGGACTTAAACATTTTGGGGGGGGTTTACCTTTTTTATTTGTGACTTTT